AAGGAGCAAAATGCGACACAGAAGAGAGACACAGCAAAACTCCAGGGTTTGGGGTTTAGGGTTTAGGGTTTAGGGTTTAGGGTTTAGGGTTTAGGGTTTAGGGTTTACGGGATGCTCTGTGGTGTTGTAAATGGCAATGGACTGCGAAGAATTGGGAAAAGGAAATTCCAAAGAAGAGCGGCTCAGATAAGCTAGCCTGTACAGACACCCCAAACAACCATCTGCTGCTGCTGCTGCTGCTGCTGCTGCTGCTGCTGCTGCTGCTGCTGCTGATACTGATGCTGGTGCTCTTGGTGCTTCTAGTGTTGCTGCTGTTGCTATGCTGCTAGTTTTGATGCTGCTTCTGCTGCTGCTGGTGTTTAGGGGAGCGCGGTTGATACTGCTGCTGCTGCTGCTGCTTCTTTTGCTGCTGCTGCTGCCGCTGCTGCTGCTGCTGCTGCTGCTGCTGCTCACCTTTTTTCTTTGGGGTTTACTGCTGTGGCATCCAGCAGCAGCGCAGCAGAAGAGATATGAGGAAGAGGGACTTCCACAGGCACTCCCGTGGCATCACATTTGAACTCCCCTGAAAGCCAAACCCTAAACCCTAAACCCTAAACCCTAAACGCTAAACCCTAAACCCTAAACCCTAAACCCCTGGAAGGTGAGAACCAAAGACACTCGGCCTTGGGTTTTAGCAGATTCCGCCTATGCCAAAAGGCGATTAAGGTCTAGGGTCTGCGACTTAGGGACCACGCTGCAGGATTTAGGGTTTAGGGTTTAGGGTTTAGGGTTTAGGGTTTGGGATTCCCTACCTGGCTCTAGGGGTTTTGGGCCAAAGAGCCTCCACCTAAACCCCAGGGAGAAGAAGACACAAAAAGCGTCTTGCTGTTTAGGTAAAGGGCCCAAACCCTAAACCCTAAACCCTAAACCCTAATCCCTAAACCGTGGGCCCCCAACCCTAAACCCTAAACCCTAAACCCTAAAGAGAAAGCCCGAACACTGAATCCTATGCCCAAACCTCTGCACCCCAGACACAAACCCTCAAGCCTTAAACCCTAAACCCCAAACCCTAAACCCTAAACCCCAAACCCTAAACCCTAAACGCCAGACCCCAAACCCTCAACCTAAACCCTAAACCCTAAACCCTAAACCCTCACTGCTGGAGGTGCACGTGTCCCTGCTGAATTCTGACGGGGTTTGAGTCTCCGGAAGTTCGAGTTGCTGCTGCATGCAGCAGCAGCGGCTGCTGCGCGCCCTTGACTAGGCAAACTAGTCTGTAGTAGAAGCAGCAAGGAGCAGCAAGAGACACAGAAAGAGACACGGGAGCAGCAGCAGCAGCAGCAACAACTCCTGCTGCAGGAGACACCTGCAGCAAACCCTCCGCCGGCAGACTCGGGAAGCTAAAGGCTGCAGCAGCAGCAGACAAATTCACCAGCTCCACGGTCACTCGGTGCTAACAGCAGCAGCAGCAGCAGCAGCAGCAGCAGCAGCAGCAGCAGCAGCAGCAGCAGCAGCAGCAGCAGCAGAATCAGCAGCAGCAGCAGCAGCAGCAGCAGCAGCAGCAGCAGCAGCAGCAGCAGCAGCAGCAGCAGCAGCAGCGGGTGGCGGGTATTAGCGGGACTGGGAAAGGCAGCGTGTGGGGCTGAGGAGGGCTTAGGAAATAAAAATGAAAAAAAGACAAAAGATAAAAAGAAGCAAAAATAAATTAAAAGATAAATTAAAAAGATAAATTAGATAAAAGAAATAATAAAAATAAAAAAGATAAATTAAAAAGATAAATCAGAGAAAAAAGAAATAATAAAAATAAAAAAGATAAATTAAAAGGATAAATTAGAGAGAAAAGAAATAATAAAAATATAAAAATAAATTAAAAAGATAAATTAAAGAAAAAAGAAATCATAAAAATAGAAAAGATATATTAAAAAGATAAACTAGAGAGAAAAGAAATAATAAAACTAAAAATAATAAATTAAAAAGATAAAATGTAATTTAAAAAGAAAAAGAAAAAAAGAAAAAAAGAAAAAGAAAAAAAAAAGAAAGAGCGGAGTGTTGCTGGGGTGTACGTACACCTCAGCAGCACTCACTCTTTTGCTGCTTTTCAGTTCTCCAAAAGAAATAAAACTTTTTCGAAAGAAAACCCTCAGAGGGTTTACAAAACCCTCGACTTCTAGCGAGGCCTCAGACCCTAGCCCGCTGCGGATCTGCGGGCACAAACGAGGGTTTAGGGTTTAGGGTTTAGGGTTTAGGGTTTAGGGTTTGGGGTTTGGGGTTTGGGGTCGGGGGCTGCGAGTTCAAACGCCTCTGCGGCGGCCTCCGGGACAGTTTGGAGGCTGTTGCTGCAGCAACTTAGGCCTAGGGTTTAGGGTTTAGGGTTTAGAGTTTAGGGTTTAGGGTTTAGGGTTTAGGGTTTAGGGTTTGGGGCTTGCCTTGAAAACCTCCCTGAGGGTTTGGCAGGGGCTGCTGGGGTTTACTTTAATAGTCAAAGGGACAGAGCCAAAGGGCGGCACCGCAGCAGCAGCAGCAGCAACAGCAACAGCAGCAGCAGCAGCGTCCCTCCTTTCAGGTTCAATCTGAGGCAGCCCAGCAGCGCGCTAGGGTTTAGGGTTTAGGGTTTAGGGTTTAGGGTTTAGGGTTTAGGGTTTTTGGCGTGCCTGCTGCCAAGATGGTTGATGGGGCTCTGGGCATCCCAGCCCTACAAAAAGCTTCTGCGTGAAGGCCAGGGTTTAGGGTTTAGGGTTTAGGGCTTAGGGTTTAGGGTTTAGGGTTTAGGGTTTAGGGTTTAGGATACGGTGAAGTGGGCGAGGACGTCCGAGGCGTTGGTGAGCTGCAGCGTGTGGGTTTGGCTGAGGCCTGGCAGCAGCCCCTTGAGTTTTAGCTGCTGCTGCTGCTGCTGCTGCTGCTGCTGCTGCTTGCTGCCGAGCAGCAGCAGCGGCGCCCTGCCAGCGCCTTTAATCTCCACTTCGTAGCTCTTTATGGGGCCCCCAGCTGCTGCTGCTGCTGCTGCTGCTGCTGCTGCTGCTGCTGCTGCTGCTGCAGTTGGGGTCCCGGGGCCCTTCTCAGCAACGAGCGACAGCCTCGAAAGAGGAGTATCACCAGCAGCAGCAGCAGCAGCAGCAGCAGCTGCTGCTGCTGCTGCAGAGCCCTCCCCCGCGGCCGCAGCAGAAGCCTCTCCCGCTGCAGCAGCAGCAGCAGCAGCAGCAGCAGCAGCAGCAGGGGGGGGCCCCTCCCAGAGGTCGCAAATGGCCGTGGCTCTGTAGCTGCCGCTAAACTTGGGCCTAAAGGAGACAGTAAAGGCCAGGGGGGCCCCCGGGTTTATTTTGCTGGCAGCAGGAGAGATGGAGAAGGGGCCCCTGGTTCTCCACTGGACCCAGAGGGGCCCTGCTGCTGCTGCTGCTGCTGCTGCTGCTGCTGCTGCTGCTGCTGCTGGCGCTGCTGCTGCTGCGCAGGCCTGCACCAAGAATTTGAGCTCTTTTTTGCTGCCAACAGCCACAGCGCCCAGCAGCAGCTGCTGCGGCACAACGAGAGAGGGGCCCCTCTTGAGGGCCCTCAAAAGTACCCTAAAGGAGGCCCCCACAGGGCCCCCTGAGGGGCCCCCCGAGGGGCCCCCCGAGGGGCCCCCTGAGGGGCCCCCCGAGGGGCCCCCTGAGGGGCCCCCCGAGGGGCCCCCTGAGGGCCCCCCAGAGGGGCCCCCCGAAAGGCCTCCTGAGGGCCCCCCTGGGGGGCCCCCAGGGGGCCCCTGAGGGGACTTTGGGCCACAAAGAAGTGGAGAAACTCCTCGAGGGGGCCCCCCCCCCGGGGCCTGAAAGTGACTGGGAGGTCCCAGGTGACCCCAGGGGCCATTAGGCGGGGCTGGGGGGGGGGCAGTGCAAAGGCCACGGAAAGGGGGGCCCTGTAAACCACAAAAAAGGGTTTAGGGCTTGCGTTTTTCAGCAACAAAACCCTTTTTTTCTCCAAACCCAACTCCCATTCGCTGAACTCCAAAGTCCTCCCGCACATCACCCCCAGCTCCAGCGCCTCTTCGTTCAAGTCGCCCCACAAGTGCTCGCTGGGGGCCCCCGGGGGGCCCCTCTGGGGGCCCCTGGGGGGCCCCCGGGGGGGCCCCCTGGGGGGCCCCTGGTGAGGGGCACTCAGGGGGGCCCCAGGCAGGCGGGTCGAAGGAGCTGCTGCGGCTCCAGGGGGCCTCAAAAGGGTTCAGATGAGGGACTTGAGAAGACCCATGGGGGCCCTTTGGGGGGCCCCCCTTGGGGGCCCCAAAGGTCTCCTCAGGGGGCCCCAAAGGGCCCCCCGAAGGCTGAGAGGGGCCCCTAAGTGGGCCATTAGAGGGGCCTTCGGAGGCCCCCGAAGAGCGCCTAGGGGGGCCCCCAGAGGGGCCCCGAGACGGGCCCCCAAGGGGGCCCCCGGGGGGGCCCCCAGAGGCCCCAGAAGAACTCTTGGGGGGGCCCCCCGCAGGGGCCCCCGGGGGCCCCCTGTTGGGGCCCCTGTGGCTGCTGTTACTCATCATTGGCTAGGCAGCCCTGCTGCTGCTCTCAGCTGCATTTTGCAGCAGCAGAAGTGGCCCAAGGCAGCAAGACCTTTGCCTAAACCCTAAACCCTAAACCCTAAACCCTATGCCCTAAACCCTCAGGCCTGTAGATCTCCGGTGGAAAGAAGCCGTAGGGGGCTCTCCTGCTAAACCCTAGCTCCTAAACCCTAGAAGTTCAAGATTTTGGGGGGCCCCCCTTGGGGGCCCCAAAGGTCTCCTCAGGGGGCCCCAAAGGGCCCCCCGAAGGCTGAGAGGGGCCCCTAAGTGGGCCATTAGAGGGGCCTTCGGAGGCCCCCGAAGAGCGCCTAGGGGGGCCCCCAGAGGGGCCCCGAGACGGGCCCCCAAGGGGGCCCCCGGGGGGGCCCCCAGAGGCCCCAGAAGAACTCTTGGGGGGGCCCCCCGCAGGGGCCCCCGGGGGCCCCCTGTTGGGGCCCCTGTGGCTGCTGTTACTCATCATTGGCTAGGCAGCCCTGCTGCTGCTCTCAGCTGCATTTTGCAGCAGCAGAAGTGGCCCAAGGCAGCAACTGGAAACCCTAAACCCTAAACCCTAAACCCTAAACCCTATGCCCTAAACCCTCAGGCCTGTAGATCTCCGGTGGAAAGAAGCCGTAGGGGGCTCTCCTGCTAAACCCTAGCTCCTAAACCCTAGAAGTTCAAGATCTCAGGTGGAAATAAGCCTTAAACCCTAAACCCTAAACCCTAAACCCTAGAGTTGTTCCTTCAAAGCATCTGTGACTGCTCCGTGACAGCCCGACCTGGCGCTTTATTCCCCTCATCTGTCTCTAAATTAGAATTTAATTAATTTAATTTAATTAATTTAATATAATTATTTCATTTGGGTTAATTTATAAGGGGTCCCTAAGGCAACTGCAGCACGGGGGCCCCTGGGGGCCCCCGGGGGCCCCCGGGGCCCCCAGGGTCTGCAGTGACCCTGCTGAGCGAGGCAGCAGCAAAACGGGTAAATAATGGACAATTAAAATAATAAATGAGAAATAAATATTAAAATAATAATTATAAATAACAAAATGAAATTAAATTTGCAAAAAGAACAAATAAAGAAAGAAAAAGCAACAAATCGAGTCCACTTGGCTCCGGGGGCCCCCGAAGCGAACCAACAAATAAGGGAATATATAAATGAATTAAAATAATTTAAATAAATTAAAATATTTAAATTATTTAAATTATTTAAATTTTTAAATAAATAAAATAAACAAATCAAAATAATAAATGCCAAACAAAAATCCACAAAATTGACGCAGCATCCCCAACAGACTAAGCAGTCACGAATAAAAAAAAGAAATAAAAGAAATAAAAGAATTTAAAGAAATAAAAGAAATAAAAGAAATAAAGAAATAAGAGAAATAAAAGAAATGAAAGAAATAAAAGAAATAAAAGAAATAAGGGAATTAAAAGAAATAAAAGAAAAAAAAAAAAATAGAAGAAATAAAAGAAACAAAGAAATTAGAAGAAACAGAAAAAGAAAAAATAAAAAGAAATGAAAAGACAATAAAAGAAATAAATAAAGAAGAAAGAAACTGATTGGGACAAAAAGACGAAAAAGAAAATTATTTGAATTGAAAATGAAAAGAAACAAAACGCGACAAAAAGACAAAAAGAATTAAAAGAAATAAAAAGAAAGAAATAAAAGAAATAAAAGGAATAATAAGAAATAAAAGAATAAATAAAATAAATAAAATAAATAAAATAAATAAAATAAATAGAATGAAAAAGAAATAAAATAAATAAAAGAAATAAAAGAAATAAAGATGGTCGAGAAGGCACAAAAGAGTCGGGAGAGTTTCAGTAGATAAGCGAGACCCCAGTTGCTGCTGCTCTTGCTGCTGCTGCTGCTGCTGCGACCTAGCAGCAGCAGCAGCAGCAGCAGCAGCAGCAGCAGCAGCAGCAGCAGCAGCAGCAAAGGAGAGTGCAGAGCGCTGCGCTTCTAATTAAAATAAGTGAAAAGACAAAAGAGACAAAAGAGACAAAAGGAGACAGACAAAAGTAAACAACAGGGGCCAGCCAGCAACCGTTTCCCCTTTGCAAGCAGCAGCAGCAGCAGCTGCTGCTGCTGCTGCTGTTGCAGCAGCAGCAGCTGCTGCTGCTGTTTGCGAGGACCGCAGACGCTGCTGCTGCTGCTGCTGTCCTTTAAATTGCTGCTGCTTATTTGGCGCAGCAGCAGCAGCAGGATGAGGCGCGCCCTAAGTGGCTGGCAGGTGGCTTAGTCTAAGAGGCTCTTGCTGCTGCTGCTGCTGCTGCTGCTGCTGCTGCTGCTGCTGTCACTGCGGCGGGCGCGCCCCCGCTGTTGCTGCTGCTGCTGCTCGGCGAAGCCAGCGGCAGCGCCTCGCCCAGCCCCGGGGCCCCTGCTGCTTCTGCTGCTGCTGCTGCTGCTGCTGCTGGAGTTGCTGCTTTTGTGTCTTCTGCTGCTGCTGCTGCTAAGTTCCGCTCGAAGACCCTGGCCACGTCGGCGATGACGCTGGGCGCAGCAGCAGCAGCAGCAGCAGGCAGCAGCCCGCTGCTGCTGCTGCTGCTGCTGCTGAGGTCCCCCAGCGGCCCCGGGGAGGTCCCGCCGCTGCTGCGGGGGCCCCCCGACACGCTGAACCCGTGGGGGCCCCCCGACGAGGGGCCCCGCGGGGTTTGCTGCTGCTGCTGCTGCTGCTGCTGCTGCTGCTGCTGCTGCGGCGTGACGGGCCCGTTTGAGAAGCCGCTTTGGGGCGGGGAGGGGACGGCCTGGTGCTGCTGCTGCTGGATGTTGGCTGCGGCGGCGGCCGCTGCTGCGGCTGCTGCTGCTGCTGCTGCTGCAGCAGCAGCAGCGGGAGTGTCTGCTGCTGCTGCTGCTGCTGCCTTCCTCTCGGTGGTCTTGGCCTTCTCAATGGCGTCCTTAGTGGCCTGGGCGCTTCTCTGCGCAGAAGCGACCAGCGAGGCGACGACCTGCGCAGTAGGCTGCTGCTGCTGCTGCTGCTGCTGCTGCTGCTGCTGCTGCTGCTGCTGCTGCTGCTGCA